GTGTGATTGAAAATGAACAAAGCACAACCAGCATGACCACCACCTTCCTCTCATCTCATATTATTTGTGTATGTAATGTATGCATTTACCCTGCAGCCTTTAAAAATAAAGTCAAGGTTATGTTAAGTCCTGCCCACAAGGCGTATTGTGTAACACAATACGATCAGACTTGAGTCTCGCTTGGAAGGAAACGTATTGTGAAAAAAGCCGTGGACTCTAGTTTTTTAATGACTTTTTTTTACTGCACTTGAAAGGGTACAAAAATGTGTACCACATTCGAAACAAATCTGAGCATGAAATCGTCAAAAAAATTGTTAAAATCGTTCAAATACAGGTGTTTTTTGACGACTTTTTGTACCGAGGTAAAAATGTGGACATACATATTTTGTAAGAAAATGCGAGTGAATTGAAAATTTGGTTGAAATCGTGGTGCATAGTTGCGTTTATTAAATGTTTATCTACTCCCCATTTGCACCTGAAAAGGTACAAAAATATGTACCACATTTGAAATAAAAGCGACCTTGGAAGTGTCTAAACCAAAATAAAATAAAAATACAAGTGTATTTTTTTAATGAATTTTTACACCCAGGCAAAAATGTAGACAACATTTTGCAAGAAAGGAGAATGAATTGACAAATTAGTTGAAATTAAGGTGCAAAGTGTAGTTTTTCATGTTTTTCTACTCCTAGATAGTTGAAGCAAGTATACACAAATGTGTACCGCATTAGGAACGAAATCTGATACAAGGTGTGTTTTTGATAACTTTTTTTTACTCTCCGACAAAAACGTGGACCAACCAACCGCATTTGAAGGAAAGTCTGAATGAATTGTGTCTGTTTACACGAGTTACAACGCACGACGAGGACGTAAGAGATCTCGTCAAGTGTGAGAATGTAGTGCAGTAACTTAACCCTTTTTCCGTCTTCCTGGCAGGAGTAGAGAGTACAGTTTCGTTTGGTTGGTGATCTCCTCATCTAAAAATATGACTGGGAGGTGAGGGGAGAAATTTTCGGCTGGCTCGAGGAGGATGTGTGTTATTAGAGAGAGGTGGAAAGTGACAGGGCTCCGTAAATATTTTGGACAGGATGGTGGAGAAAAAGTGGGGATTTTGACGCTTTTTTATATATTCGTTTTTGTGCGATTTTTTTTGCTAATTTAGAATGAAAAATATTGAAAAAAATGATTTTTTCTAAATTTTTTATATATACTCAATATTTCAAAATCAATAACAAAATCAGTGAGAATAATAAAAAAGTGGACTTTTTCAATATTTCTCATTATTAAATCGTAGACAATTAAATGCCAAAAATATTGATAAAATATTTAAGGATAGCTTTTCTTAATAAAACGGTGGGGAAAATGGTGACAAATTTTCAAAATTAGCCTTTTTTAATAAAGCGGCCGAAAAAATTGAACTTATTCTTCCAACAAACTTTCCCCCTGAGTGGAAGTGGTTACTCTTATCTCGAATTTTGTACCACAACAAACTACTTTCTTTCTAAAAAAAATTGTTTTGAAGGGATTAGAAGGAAACCCTGTAAAACTTTGTAGATTTGAAACAGCCATCCTTTAATTCTGTTTAAGAGCTGAATGAAGGTCTCGTCAGGAAGGAAGGAAGTGAATGCAATGCAGTATTCCCCCACCTCGAGTACGTACGTACGTAGTAAATATGCATATGCATAAAATAACGTGTACCCGTGTCGTTACGTAACGGAGGAGGAAGAAGAGTAAAAGGTGAGGTAGAGACGTCTCTCTCGTCTCTCTCGACGTGAGTGTTACACAGCCTTTCGTACTTTTGAGAGGAAGATGAGATGAATAACTAACCCACATTTTTTGGAGGGCTCCCATCTTTTCGGGATACATTTTTATCTCTAAGATGACAAGATGATACATGTTTATACAAATTTATGCACGTTGGTAATGAAATTGTCGTCACCGAGTTATGCAAAATTAAGAAATTTAGTTGGTCATGAATTGTAACAATAATTTTCAATAAAGTTCAATTTTTTTTTAGAAATTGTTACCACTCTGTGAGAAACAATAGTGGATTTAAGATTTGGGGAAATTACCGAGTTCTTTGTACATTGTTACCAATGCGGAAAAGCTTCATAAATTTCGGGAGAAGAGAAGATGTTATTTTCGTTTTATCAAATTTTTTAAACGCATAGATTTTTGTAAAGTTGAATTTGTTCCGTAAGAAACTGAAATATGCTTGCATATCTGATTTTTGAAAATTTAAAATCCTTAAAATACCAAAATTTTCCTAATCATTTGCTTAAAGTTATGACTGGAAATTAAATATTTTATGTTAAAATTACACCTTTCTAAAATGCTCTTTCCCCTTAAAAATTTAATTTCCCAGATGTGCCTCTCTCGCGTTTACGACATTACAACAAATCATGTCCCCTCCTCCCACAAAGCGACGTTCGTCATCCCAACGAAATGTCAGGTGCAGTTCGAACCGAAAACCCTGATTTATTGCAATTTATGATTTAGTAAATCGTACCAGGTTGAAATTCACTTTTTAGAAAATTCTCCCTCCGAAAGAAATCATGAAAATCTGATATAAAATTATGAAATTGAGATGCGTTTCAGTTTTCAAAATTCAATTTTTCTTAGCAGACAAATTAATCGAATTTACGTATTCCCACTTTCCTAAAATTAATTAATTTTTTGGGAAATTTTGATCCGAAAAAGGTCACCAAACTACAAAACAAACAAAAAACACGATATGCCACGAATAATTTTAGGTATGGAGAATAAAAACTGACTGAATTTATACCCACTTTCCTAAACTTAATTAATTTTTTACAAAATTTTTATCCGAAAAAAGCCGTCACCTTACAAAACCAAAAAAAACACGTATAAAACGAGAATATAAAACGAAACGAACATGCATTTAGAAAAGGAGACCACAAATTTATGCCCAGTAACTAAAATCATCAAATCTTATCAAGCCTCTTCACAAAAATGGGGAGAGGTCAAAGGTCACAAATTTATATATACATATATAAATATGTACTCATTAAAAGATAAGGTTTTAATTTAATATGGAATTATTAAATATAAACGAGCGATGAAGATGACCTCTCTTCAAGCACCCTGACCTTGTTATTTATGTCTTTTATCATACATAATTCATCCAATAAATAAAAGTCAGTGCACGGGGAATGGTTGATAACAAGGGGGTGATAAGCACTCATCAAGAGAGAACCATCCTCCTCCTCCACATTTTCTGTAATGCAGATAAGCAGAGACCCAGCCAAGAACAAGCTATCCGTTATTTTTTTACCCCATGGATGCAGTACGAGAATACATAACATAATCAATAAATGTACTTAAACTGTTCACAAGAACAAAACAATTGTGTGTATGTATTTACTAAGAGAAACATTTGAAGTTTTTTTGCACACTTTTTGTTCCTGCGAAAAAATTGCGAACGACGGGATGAGTTTTACAAATTTATGTTGATAGTAAAAAAAATAACTTTATAACTATATGAAATATTACCTATTTTATTATATTATTAAATTGAATCATTTTTTAAACTTGTTGCGGCGTTTTAATTTGTCATTTTTAATAAGTGTTTCGCATGCAAATAATCCTTCAAAAAAATAAAAATGTTTTTTACAGAGATTTTGACCTGCAAGAAATGCAAGGCGCAAGAAACTACGCCCCGACGCTATAATTTCTACGGCACGTGGCTTGATTGCGCAGATTTCTTGCACTTTCTCCCAGTTTCTTGCACCTCGCATGTCTTGCGTTTTTTGCTTTGCAGTGTAAGAAATGTAGCAAACCCGAATGAAACGAAACACTGGAAATGTTTGATGCTAAAAAAACAACTTGCGTCTCAAGGAAACTTTATCTAATTTACTACGTTAGAAAATTGAAATTGTTTATTCACTTATTGCGGCGTTTTAATCGTTCGTTTTTAATAATTTATGAGTTTGTAAATATTAAAATGATTCAGTTCTCAATTGAAAAAAGCATGCTAATCTCACATTTTCCAGAAGTTTATCAAAAAAACTTGTCCAGAAAACCTTATTAACCAAGTCAACTTTACAATCTTCCTATACGACCATACAAACTATAGTAGCTGCATTTTCATCTTATTTCACATTTCGTACAACAGATATTCCTTCCCATACGAAACACAAAGTTGGCTCTTACATACTTAAACAAGTAGACAATTTTGTACAAAAACTACTAATGAACGTTCCTGTTATACATATGCTTTGAAAATTCATTTTCACAATAATTCAATTTTCAATTTAAAAAACTCCAATCAAAAACCCTTTAATTTTTCGAGAAATTTAGCAGGAAAACTTGTCCAAAAAAGCGAAACAATTTCAACTCTGCGATCTTTCATTTCCTATATGACTACGATGCATTTTCATCTCATACAAAACACAAAGTTGGCTCTTGTCTCGGAAATTTCGTACCAAACTAACTCCACACATTACGTAACGTTCCTGTACATCCGAATGGTTAATAACTTTACAAATTAGACTAGTGCTTTTAAATTATAGCATTTCTGTCATGAATTGGAAACCAGCTTATATTAGCTGATATTTGTTGACAGTTGAATAAAGGTTTACAACAATACAAATCCATTTCCAAAATAATCAAATTTTCAATTTTCCAAAAAAGTATACTAAACAACCCAAAATTTTCCAGAAATTTATCAGAAAAACTTATTTATCCAAAAAAGCGAAACAATTTCAACTCTACAATCTTCCATTTCCTATAAGACCACGATGCATTTTCATCTCACACTATTCCTTCCTATAAACGATACAAAGTTGGCTCTTATGTCGGAAATTTTGTACCAAAACTACACACTACGGAACGTTTCTGTTATACGGTAAGTTAGAAAATGCTAGGTTTTACTTACCACGAGAGAGTAAAGTTGTATCCCCATGCTGCGCAAAAGATGCACTCCAGCAGGAGCAGCAGCAGGCGTAAAGTAAGCGTTGAATCGATTCTCTGTCCGTCCAAAAACCAAAAAGTAGCTCCAGTCTTGCCCAAGTCTTCCCACGACACACACCGCACGCACCGCTCACCCCACATCGTCACGTTTCTGGAGAACAAATTCACCGGAAATTGGAGAAAATAAAAAAAAAACTGATTTTTTTTCTCCGAAAAAATGGACCCGATCGGCCCAGCGGGCCAAATTTGTGGAAAAGTCAAAAGATTTTCGTGAAGGTGAAGGTCGTCGACTCGGCTTTTTCTCCTCTTCTCATCCTCTCAATGGGGGAACAAAACATACAATTCAAGCTTAATTTTACGATTGAGTGGAAGTTTTATTAGGAAACTTTCAAGTTTTCGGGTACTCATTGAGAATTAATTAAGAGTGCTATTTTAGGTGAAATTATATAGAAAAAAACTTCCACAAGGGAATTTGTGAGATTATTTACAGAATTTTTGACAGTTTGTTGAAATTTTTGCCCAATGAGAGTTTTAATTATGTATTAAAAAGTGGTGACAATTAGTAAAAAAAGTGGAATGAGAAACATACCAAATATTTCCGAGAAACCGGAACGGATGCTGTGACGATTTTTGTGACGAGGTGAGAGGAACGAATTGTTTTCAGTGTTCTGTTGTTAGTGAGTGAAGAAGCAGGAAAATATTTGGATAAGGGAGTAAAAACAGATAAGGAACACTTTTATTTTTCCTTATCAAGGAAAAACATTGGCGAGAATTTCTTTTTAATGAACTCTGTCGGGAAAAATATTGAAAGAAAAAACACCGGGATAAGATTAAGTTTTTCGGTTTAATTGGAATTAACGGGATTCGTAAATTAAGAAAAAAACTTGGCCAAGGAATTTGCCCAATTTGTGACAAGGTAAGAGAAAAAAAACATTTTGAATTATTTTAAGACTTGAAATAATAAATAAGTAAATAGAAGTCTCAGGTTTGAGGTAAATAAGTAAAATGGTTTTTGCAAAATTTGAGACATGTAAATAAAACTGCACTGAATTTTGGGTAGTTTAATGTCTGACATAATTCTATTTTCAATTTCATAAAAATTATAGTATAAGAACTTCAAATTTTCCACATTATGCAAAAAAACTCGTCAATCTTTCTTTCCTAATATGTACAAATAGACGAGGCAACAAGATTGGGATGCATTTCGTGTAATTTTACGCCGTTAGTACTATTTTGCATGAATTTAGAGTCCAAAGTAATAGTTTTCGGAAAAAGATGGGATAAAAGTGCAGTAAATTTCATGCTAATAAATTTCAAGATTAAAAATGCATTTTGTGCAATTCTTACTCATATTTTGCATGTATTACGATATGCCTGAATTTCGTACGTACACATTCTTTAGAAAAAAATGAGACACAACTGCAGTAAATTTCATAGCAAATTTCAAGATTGGAATGCAATTTTTCCTATTTTGCAAGATATGCCTGAATTTCGTACATATTGACGTAGTCGAACCCTGTCAAGGTAAACCTTGTATATCTGCATAATTTGTAATTGTTGAGGCTGCTGGCTGGCTGGCTGGCTGGATGGATCTCATAGTTTCATTTGGTTAATATTATTAGAGGGGATGTGCATGTTGGTTTGCTTGGTTGGTGGGTTGGGGAGTCTTAAAACAAACAAATTAATCACCTCTTTGTTAATTAGTAATGTCAACATGTTACCATCCACCAACGCAGCCAGCTACACTACCAGCTACCTATGCCTCTAACTAAATTTAGCCCTCAAGGAAATTTACGCCGGAAAATTACACAATTATTTCGTGAAGGGAAGAAGTGAAGTGACAAAAGCAGAAAACGGCAGGATTATTTGCATACATGGTAAATACATGTAGCAAAATTGTCACCGAGTTTGCCCACCGTTTAAATAGGAAGAGATTCGTTTTGAACAAAAATGTATAAAAGTTTGCAGGAAAATCCAAATTTAGTAGTGAAATGAAAACTTCATGAAATTAGCGAGACTTTGAATTTGTTGGAGAATTATGTACACATGTAGGTTGTTACAGACTCGGTAACTCTTCGTTACTATATTATTTAGAGTGAAGGTCTATTTAAAATGGGAGGATTATTTGCATAGCAAATATGTAAATGAGTGGTAGCAAAATTGGCACCACCGTTTAGGTAGCAATTTGTCCCTAAAAGCGTAAGATAAGATTTTGCATTAAAATTTACAAAATTGTAAATTTTTCATTTCAAACAATTAGATTGTTACCAACTCGATATCACTTTTACTACCGCATTATTAAGAGTTTCGTACTTATAAAAAGCGCTTCTTCTCGTCTTTTTTGGCACTTTGTTATTTTTAACTGCACACCACCCGAATTTGCACTTTCATCCAATTTTACTTTTAATTTCACCCCTCTTTAAGAAGACAGTGATCACCAAGCATTGCATTCATAGATCCTCTGGTCTCATAAGTAACACTTATTTCCACTCTGTCCCATGATAATCATCGCATCGCCACGGCTAAAAATTTACCCACGCAAAGTAAACTTTCTCTCCTCTCCACTCCACTCCATCCACTTTCCCTCTCCTCTCGGCCACTTTCTGGTGTGAGTCCATTTATTAAAATCCAATTATTATAAAAGTGTGTCCATGCCTGGCCTAAAGCAGGGAGCATGTCGCAGACTTAATTACTCGTTGGAAATACATACGTAAATTCTCTTAAGTGCGGATCGCTTCTTCTGCCAGCACTTAAACTCAGCATTCCACTTCCACGAGCATAAACGACGGTGATGACGATGGTGGTGATGATAAAGAAAAGTTCAAAGGTCGCGGCTTCCTCCGTTTTTATTTGGGCGAGAGAGGAAGATCGATAAGTAAAGTACGGTATGTCCGGTTTGGTACATGTGTCACTCCACGCACAGGGCACGCGGAACGCGGTGGGGAGGACGATATTGGTGGTGTTGGTCGCTAATTATAGAATGATAGGTTTTTTTGGGGGGAAATGTTTCCTAGATTTTTGGGGGTTCGGTAGTAATGAAAATGGAAAGCTGACTTTTTTGGTTAGGAGAAGAAGGATTTACAGTGCCAGCGGAAAACTGAGGGGACGATAAGTTTTTCTGGTGTAATTTGTCATGGAGGAGGAAAATGCCCCCTAATGTTCCGTGGGGGTAAGATTGTAACGAAAATGGTGCAAAAATCTGATAAAAATCAAAGGGTTTTACCGTCCCTGAATTTTTTTATGCAAAGAAAAATGGAACATGGGCGACAATATTAAGGCGAGTAACATTTAAGCTACAATTTTTGTACAGGGGAAAAAACGTCCCCTCGATTTTGTGGGGTCCGATGGTAATGACCGTGGGTGGTGGAAAAAGCTTAATTTTTTGGGTTTTATTGTGGCGGAAATTTTATTATGTGAAGAAAAGAGGGATTTTTTACAGCCGGGCTTATGTACATACATATTCGATGCGAGGCCGAGTGGACAATGGATTTCGCGTGAATAATGGAAGATCATGAGGACGAGAGAGAGGACAAAATGATGACGAATTATGGATGGGAAAGGATTACATACTTTTATTCCTGGAGAGGAGATTAATAGTTTTGGTTCGGATCGTGGTCGTCGTCGTCGTGCTGATGAAATGATGATGATAATAATTGGGGACAAATTTTTTTCTGTATGGTTTCCGGAAATTTTGCTAATTCCTGAACGGTGGAAATTTTATTTTTGAAATTTCACCCCGAATTTACCGTCGTAGTTAAAGTATAATGAATAATTATCTTTAAAATAATTTTGGTGTCAAACTTACACAAAATTAAAAGGCATGAAGAATAATCATAATTAGAAATGTATTAGTTTATTGAGATGAAGAATTTTATGGAAATATCAAATTTGGGAAAATTTTTATTACAAATTCCACCATTTTTATTTGTCATTTGGTTTTAAGCCCACAACTTTTGCAAATTGAGTTTTCAAATCATTTTCAAATGTAATTAAGTAACAACCATGCACATTTTAATTGTTACTAGATAAATAAATGTAGTGATTAAATTAGTAATCAAAATGCGAACTCTATGAACTCACTCAATTTCAGTTTAATAACAGTTTACTCCAAAAATTCCACCATAATTTCCGTCATGTCAATATCAATTTTTCAATCGTATTTCAAACTTACATAAGTAATATTTAAATGTACAAATTTTAACGGTTGATACATAGGTAAATGTAGTAATTAAATTAGTAATTAAAATGCGAACCACCCACTCACTCAGGTTCATCTCAAAATTAAGAACAAATTCCACCATTTTCTCCATAATTTCCGAAATTTCACTTTTCAAATAATATTTCAAAATAAGGTAAATTACAAATTTGACCTCTTGTTAAACATAATTAAATGAGACCACCTGGTCTAAAATGGCAACTTACCCACCCACGCACTCATTTTCCACTCCCCTTCACCCCACCCACCCACCTACATCTTAGTCCTCGGTCATGTTGTGAATACATAAATTTAGCAAAATTCCAGCAGTCCGGTGACGATGAAGAGGATGGCTCGTCAATAGAGTCCCTTGACTTTAATTGAATTCATTCGCTTTAATTTAATTTAATATCACGTAATTTCCGCTTGGGTGATGGAATAATCAAATCACTCGGGCTCCTCTCTTCCTGCTTCGTCCCTATAAAACGACGCCATCCATCCACCCAAGGAACATTTCTCCACTTACATACCAACCATGAGCAAACTAACTAACCAAACAGGCCCAACACAGGCCAAGGGCCAAGCTGATTTTTGGGCGACAGAATTTGGCTGGTGACACAGTAAAGAAAAACATTTTTTAAAAGTATCTACGACGAACGAATTTATAAATTCGGAAGTATTGCAATTTGCAATGTTTAAAATGCAGGTTAAAAAGTTAATTTTGCCCTTAATCGAACGAAATCCAGGTGAAAATTCAATGATTTTGAAAATCAATGAAAATTCAATTATTTTGCTTTAAATAAAAATTAAGTCAAGCAAATTACGGAAATTCACTTGCGAGGAAGGCCTTGGTAAATTTGGGAGAGAATTTTGTTGGGTTAAAAAATAGTTTTAAGTTTCTGCAACGATATGGATAAATAGAACGACCAAAATGGAAATATAAAGATGTTATATAACATCTTTAAATCTTTAATATTGTTATATAACAATATTAAAATGATGTAGGTTTAAATAAAGATTACATTTTCGGGTGGCAGTGTGCCAAAAATAAAACAGATCTTGTTACACTTGAAATAAAAAATATAGATATTAAATTTACTTATAGTGTTAATCCAGATAAGTCAACATTTTTTCAATTTTGTGACTTAATTTACAAGGATTTTTCCTAATTATATTACACTGTAACGTAAATTCCTATTAAAAAAAAATAATTATCTTCTCTACCTAATCAGCCTGTCGAGTCTCGTTTTGTACATTTTCCAAATTTGTCAGACTAAATTGATACAAATTTTCCCAATTTTATTTTTCCCATTTTTTCCACCAGGGCCTTACACAATCGTTCCATTCTTACCACAGGCCCTGATTCTATTCCCTCCAGTACACGTTATTGCTTACTGTTAAGAATGAGTCACATCGCAATCTCTCTTCTCCAGCTGCAGCAGAAAGTGAGATTCTGCAGAGTCCAGTCCAGTCTCATCAAAGCTCTTCGATCCAAACCAAACTGCTCTACATATTATTTTATTTACGAGAGAGGCAGAGCTGTCACTTCATTCCCATCAACTTCCAAAATCGTATTTACTACTAATAATAGGCATGATGATCTCCAAATTCTTGATTTCAGTTCATTCAATGCCTTGTGTTGTTGTTATTACTATTATTCAATCCAACTCAAGAGGAGGATGTTTACAATGAAAAATAAAAGATTATTTGTGTCGCTAACA